ATTTTATTACGTCAATTTGGTGACTACTTATGCACCGCACCCATTAAGCAAAACTAATATAAATCAATATGTTAGACGGTGACTGAAATATTATTTTGTTATTGATGTAATGTTCCAATAATTGCTTTTATCTCTGATTACTATGGCTGAACATACACTAAAAAGCTATTAGATGAATTCCTCCAGAGATATCTATAAAATGTAATAAAATTGTTATCGTATATCACTGACCTCGGTAAACACAGTAATGACTTTTCCCAAAAACTACTATTAACGATTAAAAAAAAAAACTATAATGACCTTATGGGCCAAAGTGTGCATTTGATTTTATTTGTTGTCATAAGTTACCTGCAATATTTTTTTTTTTTCATCAAGGTCACCATAATGCAGCTGATGCATTTCGTTTGGTATATTTGTATGGTGATCAACGGCGGTACAAGGTCTCACCTACGCTATTCTTGGATATGCCAACGTTCGCAGACCCCACCGTTTCCTTTCTCTAACCTACTCAACTTGGATGTGCGTGCGCACGACTAATATCCCATTCGTTTAGTGTTAGCCAAACGTCCAAGAATTTGTGGGACGTTTCCGCATTCTCACGTATCTAATTAAAATTTTCGAAAATTATTTGAATGGTTTAAAATTATTATTTTTGAACTCGAACAACCCGATGATCACTAAGAAAACGGAATTGAATTATTTATTAAAGACATTTTTGTTCACTTGTAGTATAATTTACAATAATAATATAAATAATAGTAAGTGTCTCATCGAAAAGTCGTTATATAATTACTTAATCGTTCTTTGGCTATACGACACGTTAGAACGATAGTTAAAACCATTCGTCTTCGACCCTAGTTTACAGAAAAAATAGCTATTCTAATTAGCCTTATCTCTAAGTAGCGCACTATATTATTTATTTGTGGGTAATTGTAAAAAAAATATCGATTACGCTTCAGTTTTTATTTATTTATATATGCACTATAGAAACGTTTTAAAGAGTACGTTATTCGTATTAAACTAGCAGATAATGTAAACTAAAACTAGTTGGGGTATTCTTTATAATCCTTATAGAACATTTTGTTAGACAGCTGATGTACGTGACTCTACAATTCATACTTCTATTTTTCCTTTTTACATTTATACTAATAGTTATTTTATTCATAGGAATTATATATATAGTACTTAATCGTAACGCTTTAAATATCGAATTTACGCACTTAGTATACTGCTAAACCAATGTTGTATTAAAAATAATAGTACAATATAATTTCCCCTTAATTATTATTGTCTTTTAAACTAGAAAAATTGACATTACTAATGATAAATAAACGTATTTTTACTATTAAATAAATAATTGAATCTAATGTTTTTTTTCGATTTTGAAATACTATGGATCATCACGTGACGTTTTAAAAGAATAGGTCGGATGAGAAAACTATTTATAATTTACAGGAGAGGTCATCATTTCAATAAATAAGCGTATATATGTATGAAGAAAAGTTATGAAGTATTTATTTTTACCGTTCATGTGAAGAGATAGGTAGTTTGCATCCGGTTAGTTTTTTTTTTTTTTTTGCCATTTTTGCGTTTCTCTTCATTTTAAACAATATACTACTAGTATATACCGTACAGTTGACCAATTGATGCACGTCAGTGAGTGTGTGTCACGAATATGAATGGTGTTAGTCATTGTGAATGCAAGTTATCGAAGTGAAGAATTTTCTTTTTTAATTTAGTATTAAAATACTTTAATAGAGAATTTATTCGTATGGTTTCATTTTAAATTATGAAATCAGTTGTAATTATAATATAGAACTTTTAATATCCTGTTTAAATAACTACATGATTATATTCTGAGTTCTTGGATACATGAGTGCGCCTTAGAGGAGGAATATCTTTGATTTTTTGTTGATATAGTTAATTTTTATAAAGATTTTAACCTTACCAAAACAAAATTATCTTTAACATGAAATTCTGGTATTAGTTTGTTTCTTTAAACAGTATTAATGTTCTATTAATTATAACACAAACTGTCAAACTGAGTATTATTCAGTGTACATTATCTTACGTCGTGTACTTTTCATATTTTCTTAATGAGAAATAGGGCACGTACATGTAGCGTTTAATCTTTTTTTTTTATTATTTACTACCGTTGGTTAAAGACTATTACGTGGTTATGCATTTTTGAACTACATTTTTGAAATGAATAACTTCTATTCTAGACAATTTGTTTAATTTCTTAAAACTGAATATTATTACTGTGTTATTAAGTGAACTATCATAAATTTGTATGAAATCTTATAACCAAATTTAATGTGTATATTTGTTAACACGTATTTGTCATCTTGGGTGAAATTAATAAAAATAATTGGTCTGCTAGTATATTGCAACAGTGTGTACAATCATCAGATTAAATTAAGTCTTTCGCCAATATAATACTATCATTAAATAAAAAAAAGTTATAATAAATAAATAATGTAAAATTATTTATCGAAATTAGACGAATAATCTATTAGGAAATTTGAAGTAAAAAAAAAAAATATATCTTATAAGTTGTACAAATCATAGCTAAAAAATCTCGTGATACAATGCTAAGGATTGAAGAATTGTTAATGTGTATAATTTATTCTTTGTTTAGTTGTTTAAATCGCGGATGGGCCTAAATTTATTTTTAATTATCTTGCGTACATAAATTAGATTGAAAAATTTTGTTAGTGTGATTTCTAAGCATACACTGTTCATCTAGATGAAATACATTATTTTTATAAAGGTTTCTATAAAATGTTTTTAAAAGTTAACTGAAATTTTCAAGTTTCTTACATGTTTAATGATGCTTTTTCCTAAATATTTTACTCGGTATGCTAATATTTTCTTGAGAAATTTTATTGGAACTACTAATTTGGTGCTTCGTTAACAAAGTGCGACTGATTTGGTACGAAGGCGGTGACTATAATGTGGGTTCTCCTTTAAATAACGGATATATGACATATTTTGTACATGTGGTGTTCTACGAAGTCCTTTTATAGCTATATTGTTATAGACTCGTTTAGACGGTAGTAGCAAAAAGAAAAGATGACGCACAATTATTTGTCTTACTTAATGATTTTGACAGATTATTATCATTCATAAGTTTTCATTTATGTTTCTAGAAATTTTTACTACATACTTGGCTCTCGACAAACTAATAATTTATCTCATAACTCTCCATATACTTATTAATACTTTGGAACGGTAATGATATTGCATAACAAATATATAATACTATATTCAAAAAATAGTTTACATTGAATACGGCCTCTAGCATTTTGATGACGATTTCACCTAACTAGTTGTCATTTAACTATAGCACTAAGTGTATTTATGACATACATTAAAAAATGTTTTGTTTATTATTTATTGCAGGCTATGCACATATTTTAGTACCATATTTTTGACGACTAATCGAATGGCCCACATTATAATTACATGTATGAACTAAACAGTAATTTTTAAATATACTTTAAAATTTATAAATGAAATTACATGCCACATTACCATTCAAAAAATTAATACACATAATATTAAAAAAACTTAGAGTTCCAATAGTTAATATTAATATTTATAAACTAAAGAATTATAAAATATCAATGTTAATTGTTTAAAACTATACAGAGTATTTAAAAAGTAAGGAAACGGATGAATGTTATAAACAATTAGAACAATAAACACCCTTTTTTTCCTTTTTGATCACTCTGTATGTTATAACACATAAAAAAATTACCTATCTTAAAATTTACTTTTCTAGTTCTAATTCTCACATGATAAAATTTATTTGGTTCAAATAACAAAAATATACAGGGTGTTCAGTAAGTCAGGAAACGGGTTTCTATTGTTCTCATGGTTTGTAACAATATATACAGGGTATACTTTAAATTAACATGTAATATCATTATAACACAAATAACAATTTTTAGCTTTGATAAGAAGCTAAGAAGATATTAATTTTACTGTTTTTTTTATGTGTCTGTAATCGCTTTTTTTCAGCTATCATTGAATCTATTTTTTGAAAAATGAATGTTGTAGTTAAAAAAAATGTTATTTTTGTGGTAAAAGTTTTATATTTCAATACATTTTTTTTTTTAGTCATTTTGTTTATTTAAAACTGTGTAGTAAATACGAGTAAATATCACATTTGACACCCTTTTTTACAGTTACAAAAATGGTTTAAGTGTGAGTTAAAAGTATTTTCAATGATTATTGGAAACTTTTAATGTCAATTTTAATGTGTATAATCAAAAGAAGGGGTGGTTTTTCCCCAAAAAAATGTTCTGATTACCAATTGCTTATGATGAGGTAAAGAAATGCAGTATGATTCTTTTAATATGTCGATAGCTACTTTTAGCCACTTGATATCTCTTAAAATAATAATTATGTTAATAAATTCCTTTTTTAGTTTCATATATTTCTCAATTCATCAATTATAAAGTATTTTTTAATTCATCCATTGTACCTTATAAAGGCGTCAGCTTTATATTTTTGAATGGCTACAAATACATATTTAACATCTATATATTTTTTATAAAAAAATCATTATTTAACAAAACAATAGGGATATTGTGTTTAATAGATCACCCTATGCATAATATAATTATACAAAGTATCAGACTGAACTGACAATGCTTATATCTTTTGATCGAATTATCATTTTTTGAATTTTTTTTTTTTAATAATTACTGCCTTCTTAGATACATTTTAAGCATATTTCTTATTAGTAATCATTTATAAGAAAAATAAAAATAATTTAACTTGCATGTTAGTATAATGTGTAAAATTCATAGATATTTTGTCTAAATTGAGGTTTTTAAATAGACGATTAAAATGTTTATTCTAATTAAAAAAAAAGTGTAAGAGAAAATGAAAAGTTTTAATAAGGAAGAATATTACATTGTTTTTAATTATATTTTTATAATAAATTACATTACATTCATACTAAACCTTAAATTTTGTTTGTTTTTTAGGTTCAGCGTACACAGTTGAATAGCGGATACAACAATACCGGTGGTAGCCAGTGCTTGAATAACACGAGCTTTGGTGGCAAATCGGTTGCGTTACCAGGCCATCACGGTGGCCCACCCGGTATGACTGGTAATTATGCTAGTGGCGCCCCTACACAATATCACCACAGAGCAACAACTGGCTGGAATTCGGCACCCTTACCTGCACAACAATACCGATACGGAACCGGTCCCGTTCCCCAGACAACCATGTCGCCTTACACTTCTTATAATCCAAATCCAACTACAGTAAGTTTACTTATTTAATATTTTATAGACGCGCTACATTAAGAAACACTCTTTAGCAATATTTTCTTTAGACTTGGTATAATTAAATTATATTTTCAGCGATAGATTAAAAATATGTCCATGAAATTTTTGAATTCTACTCTTCAATAATTGGATTATTTGATTACTCTGACTATTTATATCGAATTTCTTCAGTTAAATCGAGTTTGGCTAAAATAAGTTCAAACATATTAAATTCAACCAGAGATAAATATTTTCTTAATTATTTGTTTATTTTCCATATTAAATTCTAATAATATTTTTATAAAATCAAATTCAATTAAAACATATATTTATAACCTCATATTAAATATGAGGTTATAAATATATGTTTATATAAATAAAATTTTGCCATGTACTTTTGCATTCAAAGAATAATATGTCCTCGTTGTTTTAATTTATTTCTTATTATTAAAATTATAGATGCTCTATTCAGAAAATAATTATTATTTGTTTGTACGAGTAATAATTATATAAATTTTAATATAATAATTATATAAATATAAAATGCATATATTTTGAAAATTACTTCATTATTATTTGAATTATGAATTAATCAAAAATAATTATATAAAGCAAAACCAAGTCAATATTGCTTACAATTTTTTGGTGTAATGCTCATATGTTACATGGAACGATAAAATTGTTGTATATGGTTGTCAACTGCGCTCCGTGTGTTTTAAATGACATTGAATCAATGGTTTTGTTTTATTATACGACCTTGAGCTTTTATTTTTTACTCGTATTAATGTATATAATTTTTGTGCCTATGTGACATTTAAAAAATTTCCTCTATTTTATTCTAAGTAAAATACTATAGTTATTGAAGTTATATAACAGAGAAACAGAATATAAATCGATAAAAAAATTACTATAATTTAATATTGAGTATAGTAAAAGTAGTATTATAAAGTCCTCCTATAATTTCTTAAAAATGATTCAATCCTATTTATGTTTAGACAACTTTTTACTTATATTGAAATACTTGTTAAGGTAAATTATTCAATAAAAAATTTATACTGATACATATGTGGTTTGAATAAAAATTAGTTGACATTAATACAGTTGTAAAAAAATTACCAATAAAAATTTCGTGTTAGATTTTAAAGTTAATTTTTCTAACCTTCGAGTCCAATAAAACCGGTTAAATATGACGTACCCGGCTTTTTAACCGTCATCTTATCAATAATATATAACTTAATTATAAATTTCAACCTAAGAAACAAAAATTTTATAGTTTGTAATTTTTTTTCTAAGTTTAATCTTGAAATAATGTATTGCTTATGTTTTGTAATATTTTACTTGAGAAACAATTTATCGATAAATGTTATTTGATAACAAAATATCGATAATTACTAATTACTCAAACTAAATTATGTGTAAGCATAACAGTAATTGATTAACTAATAGTTTTGGATTAAATTTTTTTCTTACACAATACAAATTATATTTTTACATAAAACTTAGTAAAAACAGTAATTAAGCTATTGAAAATACTTAAACTAATGTATTTATATCTTCAAAATTAATATTCAAATTATTTTATACTAGATTATATATTTTTCTTAGTTGGATTACGGAATATATCGATAGTGTCTCCTGACATAAATCTTGACTTAACAAAAAAGTTTTGAAATTATTTTTATTGGAACATGCATAGTATTTTTGATATAGAGGAAGTATTCAAATATTGGTGTTCAATTAAATCTAAAAAAAATTTGATTTCATTATTATTAAATCATATATTCAATTAAAAAAAAATGTTTGAGTATTAATGCAATTATTTGACAAGAAAAATGTATAGCCTATTAGATTTTTTATAATAGTTAAGTAAATACAAATTAATTTTAAGTAATGTTTTTAATTTATCCAGAGATAAGTATTTAATCTTAAGATGAGATTCTGAACTACTTAGTGCTGTGTTTACAACGATCTTTCTCTCAAAGTTTCCTTCTGTCGAATCTTAACACATATTATATATTATTTCAAAAATTCATCATACTAAAACTTAAGTTAGAAAGTTGCTATTTGCATCACATTCTCTGTTAATTTTAGTTAAGTAATAAACTTATAATCTTCTATGAAAACATAATGATAATGTTGTTTATGAAGGGTACTCTAACATACAACGGTTTGTTTTTCATTGTTTACTTGGCACAACTGTTATGAGTAGAGACCACTAAATGAAAAATGAAATACTACCTAGTATTAATTTTAAGTTAAACATCAACATAACAATTAATTTTTAAATAATTTAGGTGGTTTTGAGTTGAATAACTCAAGTTGAATAATACTTACAATTTGATTAAGATAAAAAATAAGTAGTTAAATATTATAAATTAATAGTTAAAGTAATACCCCAAAGTAAAAAATAATCATAATCACTCCTCTATTAAAGTTTTTTGGCTTGGCCTCATTGGATAATTTGTTATATAAATAGATACTACTCTCGCTTATTCCCCTATCTTTGTTATACACACAAATGGCTCCCAATGACCGCATACCAGTGCTGTACTCGTTACGATATGTAATTTTGGCACGACCAAAATAATAAACAGGGTAAAGTTATGTTTGGTATACTAGTCGAGCTATATTTATCATATAACGATAATAGATACAATCACATATTGATGTTGCCATTATTATATACTTGTCATAAATTTTTATTTCATTAAATTAACTAATAACATATTTTTAATTAGAACAACTTAAAAGTTTAGATTATCAATCAACTTGAACTGTTCTTTGTGTAGTAAAAATACTACACAAAATCTTTTTATTATATCAGGCAAATCATCTATTTTTTCGTATAGACATTAAAGTTGAGAAATTAAGTTAGGCTACCCATTTTTCCAAATGCCCAAATATTATTTACCTTATTATTACTTATCTTATTACTTACTTATTATTACTTATATATTACAAATATTACTTATCCAAATATTGTGTTTAAAAATTGAATTTTTAAAATTTTTAATAGTTTTTCAACTATTAATATTATTCATATTAGATATGAATAATTTATTGTATAAATTCCAGCAATGTATACAAAAAAATCAAAATTATTTTTTGGAGCAGTTTTTTTGTTGTTGAACTTTTTTTGCTTAAAGGAATTTTAATAGAGTATTTTTTATTTCTAGGCAATATTATTGAACATTTGTTAATATTTTCCGCGTCATTTTTTTTTTTTTTTTATGTAAAACATTTTTCACCCTTAATGATAAGATTTTGCGGACTTGCTTTATTCTTTGTTGTCTTAGCTTACCTTACAGTATCTAAATTTTATTTATAAAAACCTATACTGACAGAGTCGTATTAAGATAAAGTCATGTTCAACATTATTATTTGTGTAAATAATGTTGTGTTTTTATGCTAATGATTTCAATAACCACGGGTGGCGAAGCTAAGGAAATTGTGTGGAGGAATGCGTGTATCAACTATTGTTATGTTAAAAAAGCGAACAGACTTATTTAATTTAGTTATTTTTTTTAACAACTGAAAACCTGTAAGAGTACATTGTTCATCAACTTCGCTGGGGTAACGTGTGTCCGAAGACGTGTCATCGTACCTGTAATATTGTAATCCTTTGGTGGCACTCGATACGTTTTTCGCATTCTTTCCTAACAAAAAAGTAATTACAAATACGTCACCCATTACTAAAAAACATTTCCCATTGCATACAACTTGTTCGAGTTTATTCTATTTAATCCAGTATGTTTTACCGGATAACAAAATGAACAATATGTATTTTTGGTATTGTTAATTACTTTGACAATCTAACTATGCGTATGTCTCTATTATTCAATACTTGTGTTTGAAAAGATAGTAGAATGCGTATGCAAGTATGCACCCGTGTATAAAAAACTACTACTCGCAAACATGCTGTCCTTGAAAGTAGAATGAGTATTGCAAACATTTTATTAGTTGTGCAAAAAAAAAAAAATGATTGAGGAAAGTACGTATAGCAAATGTTATTTTATTCGCGATTAGGTCATCGCTGTTATAATATGGTCACGGGGACAATATTATCAGGACTGTGTACGTAATAATCATTCTGTGTGTTAAGTATCGAGTTAGCTTCAAAAAGATATCCATATTTGAGTTATAAACACACTTAATATAACTATATATTCTATTTATTTATTCATTGCAAATAACACTCAATAAAAATAAAAATGAAGAATGTACAAATCATTTACTAAAAGTAACTTTTGTGATAATTTATCTATCTAGTATATAATATTAACTATTATGAGTCTTATTTTAATATTGAACTATTTGTAATAATTTATATTAAGTTAAAAACATCATTAACTCGCCAGTTTTAGCGCGATTTATTGTATCATTTATAACAATCTTAATTGTATATTATCTTAATTGTAACTAAAATTTATATTTTATGTATATTAACGCTGATATTGTTTTTCTAAAAATATGAAACTAGTAGTAATTAGGAAGCCTCTTCACTATCAAAGTACAACAATAATAGTTTAATAGTTTTTGTTAATAATAATTGTTCAAAAATTCCATTTGACAAATTTGTTTAGTTGAACAATATATACAAAGTGTTTATTTTAATGCTAGCCATTCATTTCTCTTTAAATAATAATTATGCTAAGAAAATAATTTTTTAGTTTCATATACTTATTGATTTATCAATTATTAACTATTTATTTTTATAATTTTGGAAGTTATTACCATTTTATACATGTTGTTCTTAAAAAATTAAAGTTGACGCCCTTATAATTGATGATTTAAAAAAAAATCTTAATTATTAATAACTCGAGAAATATGTGAATTTAAAAATTATCATTTTTTTAACAATATTGTTTTACGCATAATTATTATTATTTTAAGTAAATTGAATGTCAAATGTTGAGGAGAGTATCACCTCTGTATATCGATATACGCAATGAATAAGGCTGTAACACAATTTTTCTTACTTTTCATGAGATCAAAAA